ATATTAATAATAACGCGAAGTAGATCGTACAAAGGCGACACACAGCGGTGAAATTGAAAATTATAAATTACGTGGATCTCACGGTTCGAGAAGCAGCTATAGAAAGGAATGAAATGCCCGCTGACAGGTAGACGAAAGCTTTCTCTCTCCTTCAGACGTTCCTTCTCTCTAGAGAAATAATTCTCGCCTGTTTCACCGTGGCGGTAAAACGTTCCCGTCGAAGATGGCCGGCAATCGCGTGGAACGGAGAATAGGAGCGGAAATTCTTTTCGAACTAGCGTGTTGCATAAGATAAGACGAAGGAGAGAACCTCGGGGTCGGGTTTCCTCGGGAAGGAATTGCCACGAACGACGGCAAAGACGAATGAGCCTTTTGAAGCAGAAAAATATGGCAGCCGGACCATCTGCGGATTTTTCCATCGATTTTCTCTCTTTCTCTCTCTCTCTCTCGATTGTACGAGGCCTGCCTTCACGTCAACGGGGGAATCGAAGTTTTCCTTATGATTCATGACGCGTCGTGACGATCGATCCCGCAATTTTTTTTTTTTCTTTTTTTTTTATTTCTTCTCGCGTCCCGCAGTTTTTCCGTTACAGAACATTTCCACTTCCACGTATCCCGTGTCTCACTGTCACTGGCATTGGAACAAAAGCGGTTACGGTTCCATCTACCGGCCAGTGTTCGGTTAACGGCCTTTTTTTGTCTCTCCTTTCCACGTTATTCCGCTCTATTCAACAGCGACACACCGCCTACCGAAAACAAGAGAGAGAGAAAAAAAGGAAGAAAGAAAGAAAGAAAGAAGAAAGAAAGAAAGCAGATCGAAATATTAATAATAAAAAAAGAGAAGGGAGAGAAAATTCGTTTCCTTCGTTATAGTCAGTTGAAACAACGCGTGACCGACGCTTCGTCGCGGATCGATCCTCCTTCCTTGGAAAACAGGATGCTTTAAAATTCCCACAGACGTCCTTCCGGCTAATGAGCACCGTCGTGTTTTCGTAGCTATCCTCCGGCGACTGGTGAACTTTTGCCGAAAAAACGAAAAGAGAGAAGGAGAGCGGGAGGAGGAAAAAACCGGGTAGAATAAAAGGGGAACAAGGGGAACGGTCGGTATACCGTTGAATTCCACGCGATTTTCAAACTGCCTTTGAAAAACCTTGCCTATTTTTTCCTCCCCACCCCTATCTTTATCTCGCGTCCTTCGACCGCAAGTTTCTCGTTATCTCGCTCGCTGTTTAGAAAATCCGTGATGTAGTTGTATTAGAAACAGCGTTGTTACGAGAAAAAACGATACGTTCCTCTCTAACCTCGAATTATCCTCTTTTTTAAGCTTTAAACTTTTCGCGGAGAAGTTGGAGCGCTTCGTCCAATCCCCTCGAGAAAGTTGGATTGCTCGATACATTATTGAGCTCGCTTCGATTCATGATTTCTTTGGAACAAGTTGTGGCCGACCACCACTGCTTTCTCCCTTCTCCCTTCTCCGTCCTTTCTCGCTGGGAGCGTAGACGAGAGTTTTGCCCGTGGCGTGCGTTCCGGGACGTTTCCATTACCCGCTCTGGAAACCGTTCCTCTATATGGATAAGTTGCGCGGTCGATACGTTATTCGTTCGGTCGATAAATTATTCGTGCGAGAAAAACGAGAGTGAGACTCGATATTAGTTAAGCCTCGAGATAAATTTTTTCCTCAACACCGTTTTCATCGAAAGTTTTCCCTCGATATTAAGGATATAAGATTTTTACCGATTTATTCGATTCTAACCGCCGCGTAGTGAGAGAGAAAACGGATCTTTTCAATTTTCTGAAAGTATGGATAGGTATCCGGCTGGATAGGAAAGTTTTTCCGCGGAAAAATTGGAATATTGTCTTTCCAAGTCTTGCGACTCGAAAATGTAACGAGAGAGGAAAAACTTTTGGAAATGGAAAGGAGAGGAGATTAAAGAGGTAGAGAAAGAAAGAAAATGATGAAACGCGAGGCTACCCGGTCATTCAGAGTCGAGGAAAGGAATAAAGGAGATTGTTTGAGTGTCTTTCCCATTGAATCCGTTAATGACGAAATACGAGCATTGTCGCCTCCTGTCGTGAAATTTCGATGCTCGTATTTCACGCATAACGACGCGAATCTTCTCTCGCAATCTCCTCTCAAGCGTCTCGATCCTTCTCCTCGTGGAATAGAGAGAATCGCTTCCCTGCAATATTTTATTCTCGTTGAAAATATGAAAAGAGAGGGACCGCCAGAGTGTTTGACGCGCGCGGCTTATTTCGTTCTAACCGATTCCTTCTTTCTCTCTCCTCCCCCCCTTTTCTTTCGAGTCTCCGAGGTAATTACAGATAAGAGGCTTAAACGAGAATTCTCCACGACTGAATATCGACTGTGAGAGTGTATAGGGCGAAAAAGAAGAGGGAAAGAGAAAGAGAGAGAAAGAGAGAGAGAGAGAGGAGGCCTCGTGTCCGGTAACGGCACGATCTCTTGTTCGGGTCGCGGATAAAACGATATCTTTTCACGAAGACAGGGACGCTCTAAAGGCTCGTATGTATCGATCGCCAATGAGCTAATGGGTAATCATCGATAAGAGGCTTAACCGTGGATATTCAGAATTAAGCGTCTATTTCAGGGAATAATGCGTCTCTCGATTATTCGTGTTTCGACGAAACGATCCAAATGCGATACGTTTAGAGAGACGTTAGAGATTAAATCGTCTAATAATTTGGTAGGCGAAGATATTTGCGGCTGGCAAAATACTCTATCGGTATTCACTATACATTATTCGTGAATGCTCCCTTTAAACAATCACGCTTGATACAAAACTGATTAAATACATACCGGAATATCCGAATATTTGACTGTTGCAACTGTAACAACGTTCGATCTCAACCTAGTTTATTTCTCTATCCCTCTCTCTCAAATTAACGCACGCGTTTTCGTCTTTCTTCAGCGCGAACTGATGACTGTTTTAAGAAGTACAACTCGAATCGCAACTCATCGATTAACAACGACTAGTTTTATTTGACGGAATCATATCATCTGGGGGCAAAAGAAAGAAAAAAATTCGCAGTGCAGCGGGAAAGTTGGCGATTCCGTTTAACGCGGCGAATGAATTTTTGCGAGGAGAGAGGATTTTAGCGTGGAAAGCGAAGGCACGAGGTGTGGGCATGAGAGCGCAAGCTCGACGGCCGTTCGATAAGCGCATAACCGTGCGGTTAAGTATCTGGTTTCCAACGATGCGAAAAGTTTCGAGCGTAAACGAAGAGATAGAGAGTCGTTAGTCTGCAAATATATATATAGAAGGAATACGAAGAGATAACGAAAGTAGGGAGGGTTTAAGGGTTTGACGATTGAATCGGGTAGGCCGATAGAGGAGAGCCGTGGAGTGGAAGGGTAAGGATAAGACAAAATTAATTTCTCCATAATCGGCGATTAGACGTCGTTGAAGCGCGGGTGGGGGGGGAGGTTCCTTGTCAAAATCTAGAGTAAAGCCTAATCGGATTAACGTTCGCCGACTCGACGCTTCTCTCTCGACCAGCTCTCGTTCCTTCCAAGTTTCTCTCTTCTCTCTTCTCTCTCTCTCTCTCTCTCTCGACGAAATGGCGAATCTCTCCCGAGGAGAGGTCCGAGAACAACTCGAGAGCTTCTCGTTACGTTTAATAAAATTGGCAAACGAGGATTCCACGAGGTTTGAATCATCTCCTTCTCGAGTCGACGTTTGAACGCCGATGTCGTTCGTCCATTCGATCGTTATATTATCTGTTTCTCGAAGGAAGGTATCGCAACTTTTCGCCCGATTCCCATCCGGGAAAGGTTTCTTCCGTTCGTTTCGTAATAGGCTATTTTCGTTCCGCTTGGAGATAGGACGGGAATTATTCGACGGGGCAGCTTTGAGAAAGTTTGGCGCGGGGAATCGAAGACGTGCGGAGCGGTCTCGTTATCGCGGGCACGGCGACGAGAGACAGAATCCCTTTGTCCCTCAACGACAAACGACGTCAGATTTTCAGCAACGTCTTAAAGTTTCTCGAGGTGGGTATATATTCCTTGGAGCGGAATCGGCAGCCAGCTCCTTAACTCAGTTTAATAGCCGATCGATGAGTAAATTCGGTTAGGGGTTTCCTAAAAGGAGTTTGGGCTTGTTGCCGCTTCGTTCCGGCCACGGAACCCCCGTTCTCCTTGGAGGGACGGCCACGATACCTACTCGGCTCGATTCTATTAAGAGACAAGAGCTATATATGTCCTTTGGGCCTGTCTTTACACTTTCCAAGTATCGAGCAGTGAAGTTCCTTGGCTTCGAGTTTCTGCACGCCCGCGACTCGAATACCGACGCGCGTCACGATCTCTCTCGTGTCTCGCCCCCCTTCTGTCTTCGAGTCTGTCCCCCGCCCCCCTCTCCTCTTCCATTTTTTCCAATTAACCAATGCTACTCGAAATTTAAATCCTTTTTTTTTTCTCTCTCTCTCTTTGCCACTTCCCCTCTCCTTTTTTAAATACTTTTATCGGTATTTCCTTTCATCCACCGATGGAAATTTTTCTCACCGGAAAAAGGACGAGACGAATAAATTATTCGCGAGAACTTCGCGAGAGGATCTACATAGATATTCGACGATTCTAAAAGCATTCCATGGAAATATTGTTGGAAATATAATATTGTTGGAAATATTGTTTTTTAAAATTTGGAAAAGTTATCGATCGATGGAATCGAAAATAGTCGAAAGTTGATTAACCTTGGTCGAGTGTAATAAAGTATAATAAAGCTTCGAACGAATCGTCGGAGACGTTCCAAGCCGTTTCCAAGCTTCCGATCCGAGTATCGCAATTTCCAAGCAGTGACAAGTTTCCGAGTAGAAAGGATGAGGTGTGGAGAGGATAGGGGTAGCGGGATATAGTTTTTGGGCAAAGTTGGTTGGGGAAAACTCGGGTTTGCCGATGCTTTTAAATTTTAAAATAGTTGCATCGTTTCAACCCTTCCCCCTCTCCCTCGAAAGTTTAAACTTTTAACGGGGGAGTTTCCAAGACTCACCGATGACGGTGAAGTTGACCTTGAGGTTCCTGGTCGGCGAGTTGCGAAAATCGACTCTGCATCTGTAAACACCTTGGTCGGTTTCCCGCAGGTCTCGAATCGTCAGCTGGGCTGGTTGACTGGCTTTGAACGTTGCCCTGTCCCCCCAAAAGTGGGAGGCGCTCCACAGTTTCGCCTTGCCGAACTGTCGATTCCTCGCGTCGTAGCTGCAAAAAACATCAAAACATCGTGTAACTTGAGAACTTACGAAATGAATATATACATATATACATATATATACATCAAAAAAACATCAAAACATCGCGTAACTTGAGAACTTACGAAATGAATATATACATATATACATACACACACATATATATATATATATATATATCACGTCGTACCATACCGTCTTATCTACCCGCCGCCAATTTTTCCCTAAACTTTTGCAATTCGTCATACAGTAGTGTCAGAAGAGGAAGAGGAAGAGGAGGAGGAGGAGGAGGAGGAGTTTGCTCGCTCTCCAAGTTCCAAGCCTGGAAACTCAATACAGGCCGACACGAGTGCACTCGACCGAGAGAGTCAGATAACCTTTTAAGCACTTCGAAGATCGACCTCCGCGAGGCGACGTATTATGACGATGTATCGAGAGGATAGGAGAAGATTTCTTCGACAATGCTACTGTACGCGTCACCGTGCCGCGCCGCATATAACGTCTCATTATAAATCGAGAAACTGTCTCGAATATTATTATTATTTGAGAGACGTGTATCGATGAGATCCCATCTTTTATCTTTTAGAAGGGAGGAGTTCTCGAGCCTCGTTTCCTCTCCTTTTTTTTTTCTCGGAACGAGATCGGATGCGGATCTCGACCGGTCAATTATCGGCTTCGAGTTCTGATCGGGCGGGGAAAGTTTGGTGACAAGTTTCGATGATAAGAGACAAGCCGTGGTCGATCAACGAGAAAGACGGGGGAAGAGGAGGGGGAGGGGGGAACGTTGATTCGTTCTAGAGGGAAGTTTCGACAGTCGCATAGCGTCGTCCGGATGCACTTTGTCCTCGGCCATAAGACAAATTGGATCGGTTTTTAACGAGGGCGATCGAGCGAGAGAGTTTGTCGGAGGGGGGGGAAGAGACGGCGGCTTCCTACCTCGCTCTTTCTCTCTCTCTCTCATCAGACACCAACGCCTGGATTATCGTTTACCTTGCACGTCGCCTCGCCCGATTTGACGAGAAATTGATACGGGGGATCGAAGAGATGGCCACGCAAAGGGAACTCTCCTTAGTTACCATACCATTTCTCTTTCGCTGCAACGCTGCAACGGTGGTAATATAATAGGGAGATTTTAATTATTTTTTTTTTCTGATTTTGAGTTTATTTAATTTTTAGGAAACTATATTTTTATCGTGTAAGTTATTCAAAAATGTGTTTAATGGAAAAGGAATTAACGTGGTATTTAATTGATAATATATAAAAAATATAGAAGTATGTGTGAACTGCGCAAAATAACGATTGCACGGCAATTAATTTTTATTTTATTATATTCCGTTTCCAATCGAGAGACTTAAATTTCAAAGGGTGTTCTTGCAAAATAGGATACTTTTAAAAAAATAAGAATGGTGTTGGAATGCTGTTATTATTTATTTCATGACTCATTTTTAAGTAGATTAACAGCTATATTTTTTTCAACTCGTTATAAGAATTCGTGCGAGAGGGTTAATTTAGAAAACGCTTCGAATTTGACAAATAAATTGGACCTTGAGAATTGGAAATGGTACGTTTCTAAAGAAACGTAAAACGTGTTGAGGAAAAAATATTTATTAAAGAAAGAAGTTGTGACTACAGGATATTTTTAATAATTCTATAAATTATCCAGATGATAATGAAATATGATAATTTAACGAAATAACGATGAAAATAACGAAACTGGAAATTATAAAATGAATAAAGCACTGTAAAAAGACATATTGCATATTAATCTTCGAAGATTAGAAGGAATGAAAAAATTGTCAAAAAAAATAATATGAATATAATTTTGCAAAGTTTTGCAAATCAAATATGGCGGTAAAAATGAATAGAAAATTTTTACTTTTTGTATATTCTATTCTTATTGGAATGGAATGATTTGGAACATATAAAAAAAATCATTGACTGAAATCGTTGCTTTAAGTTTAAAATTAATTTACAAACAAAAAAAATAATTTATAACGATTTAAATTAAAAATAGAAATTTAAACGCTTCGTAATAATTAATTTACACAACATTTCTCAATTATTGAAACTTATCGATCAATTATCGTTTTAACGTGTAATTGTTATTACATCGAAACATTATTCATTTCTCATGCATTCGAAAATTAAAAAATTTTGTTTATTTAATAATACATTATAAGAACCACTGTTGGAACGAAATCCAAGAAATCTACGAAATCTTCGAATAATAATACTTTCTAAAAAAAAAAGAGAAAAAATGTATTCTCGATTCGCCTTTTAAAATTCGCGACGAGAGAGAGAGAGAGAGAGAGAGAGAGAGAGAGAGAGAGAGAGAGAAGATAAAGAACGAAACGACACGTTCGCGGGAAACAAAGACACGAGATAGGCGGCGCAACGCGAGAATGGAACAGCGGAGAAGAATGAAACGCAGCGATTAGAAAACACTGGAAACGAAGGATTCACTCACCTGTTCACGATACAAAGAGAATTACGAGAAATTCCATCGCCGATGAATGAAATCCACCGCGAGGAGGGGAAGGGTTCTAATAAGAAAACGATAACCCTGCTGGTTCCCTTCATCCTGAATGGAAGGTGTCGTCCTCGCATCGAGTGGAAAACGAGCGTTTAAAGACCGCGGAATAATTCTGGAAAGGGATGATTGAAGAAAAGGACAAAGGGGAGAAGGATAATATCGGATAAAAAAAGGAGAAGAGAAGGAATGAAGAGAGAGAGAGAGAGAGAGAGAGAGAGAGAGAGAGAGAGAGAGGGGCCTCTAAACAAATTAAAATAATTTCTCGGGAGATCGAGCGGGGCCGAATTCCCCCGGAATTAAAGGAAACGTTTCCCATGAATACGTTAGCGACGGGGTAGCTCTTAAAAGGAGCTTAACTTGGCGCATAAAATTAAGGCATTGTAATTGCAGACAGTGTCGCCACTGCGCGCCACCACATTTCTTTTCCTTTCGTTTCCTTCCCTTCTCCTCGTTCTTCCGTCCCGGCCCCACCCCTTTCCCTCCTACTCCTCCCACTCCTCCCTTACTCGACACCTTCCTCCCTTTCTTCCGTTTCCGCTCGAGCGGAAAATATAATTTGCCCCTCCCCCTCCCTCCCCTCTCCCCCCACGCCTCCACGAGACTTAACTTTTAGCTGGTCCCCGGGGAAGAGCGGAGGCCGGAACCGGTGATAAAATGATTTTTAATTGGGATTAGACGTAGTAAGTCGGCTACACACCGTCCCACCAACCGCCGTCAAAAGTTTTACCCATGAATTTAAGCGAGCAGCTTTAACCGCGATCCTAATGAATTTCGAATAACAGTTCGGATTAAAGCGACCGCGCGATCCGCGGTTCGATTCCTTCCAAGGGGGGGGGGGAGGATGGGTTTTTTCGACTCGAGACACGAGAAGCTCGAGATTTTATTAATAATATTAATAGGATTAATTAATAGTTTTTCCAATGCGATCAATTTTTTCGAGAAAAAGAAATGAATTTTCGCGTTTCGCTTATTTCAACCGGTCGATGGAGGAATTCGAGGATTCGAAGAATTGAACTCGTTTCGTCACCTATTATTTATATATATTATATATATATATATATATATATATATATATATATTTATTTATATATATATTTATATATTTATTTTTTTATAATATATATTATTTTTATATACTATTTATAATAATATAAAAATTTTATAATATATATTATTTTTTATATTTATTTATATATATATATATATATATAAATAAACGAAATTAAAAACGAAATTATCTTTTGAAAATTGTATGATGGTTGGAAATGCTACATTCATCCAATACGTAAGTCTATAATATCTTATCTTATCTTATCTTATCTTATTAATACTTAACGCGAGGAGAAGGATCAATTCCTAATAATCTACGATAAAACGCCGCTACATCACAGGAGAATACTCGTAACTTTCGATCGCACCTGTTCCCGAAAAGATTCTTAATTAACAACGAGTCGAGCGGCAGGGATCGGGATCGGGAGATCGGATTTCCATACCAATGTAAAATGTCGATACGCATGGAGAAATCACGAATGTATACTCTGATTGAGTGGCGCCGCTGCTCCTGATGCGCGCGACTGGTTACCGTTTTCGATGTCGGTTTCCGTATCCGTCGCCGATACCTCGAAATCGTTGCGATAACCCCTCCCACGCCCCCTCCTCTGGCCAGCCCCTCTATTCAAATATCACCTGTGAAACCGCACCCCGGCCATTCTTCAAAATGGGATCCGCGGCGTGCATGGCATAATAGGACAGGGATATCGCGATCCGATCGGCGAATATAATATCCGATTACGTCCGAGCATTCCTCCTCGTAGGATATTAAATATCTAATACCCTGTCGATACGAATACAAATCATTTTCTTTTCTCCCATTTTTTTTTTTTTTCTCCCCCCTCTCATCGATGAAAATTGTCGACGACGATACGCAAACGGTTGTGTATCGATCATCATACAAGAGGGGGAGAAAAGGATAGAAACACGGAGTTTCCAGTTTAATAATCGGATACGACGTTTTTCCTTTTTTTAAATGTAGAGAATAACGGAATTAATTAGGGAGACGAATATGGAATTTTCGGATAATAGAACAATTTCTTTCGAATTATATTTTATTTATTATTCTTCTCGACATCCAAGGATCCTTTTACCGTTTCTCTTCGATAGTTTAAATATACTTTTTTTCGTTTATCTTGGCATCCATACCGAATCGATACGATTACACGTTTAAAATAAAATTTATTTAAATTTATTAAAAATTTATTAAATTATTTAAAATAAAGTATTTATTACATCTAATCTACGTTTGTTATTCGCGTTGTGCGAATATTAATATATAATGGGGATAATAATAATATTCGATCCCGTTGGTGTGTGGAAAGAAATAGGAGAGAAAAGGGAAGAAAAATTGCAGGATCGTAAAGAGGCGCGGGGAAAGGAGAGGAAAGGGATCGAATCGTTAACGAGATTGCGCCCGACAGAGA